TTTTCTTTTTCTTTAAACTCTTTCTTGCACTTATCACATCATTGAGTTTTATTTTAACTATCTTCCAAATTAATAATCTTATTTTATCAACTGAACTCTACTCATTTTATTCCTATCAATGTTTACTTGTTTCTAGCCGTTCGAACTTTTGTCATAATGTTTTTTTACAGAAGTTATATATTTACAATATTCAGTCTATTGAATTTATTTACACCCTTGCTATACTATACGAATATGTCTTCAACATTAACTTCTAATCAAACTCTTTTATGTAAGTAATTTAAACCCATTATGTAATTATGATTATAAATATCACAGGTTGTAAGTAGCTGACGATAATCAACGAACTAAAAATGAATTCATGCTATTCTGCTAGAATGTTTGTTCTTGCTCTTTTCAAAATGATAAAGGGAAGTATGTGTATAATACTGATTTGTTATCGAGAGTGGTAATCACATTGTTCTTGTGTACATTAATTTTTTTTTCTTTGTTCTGGCTTACCTTTAACCTGTCTAGTTGACCTTTAGTTTTCATATAAAAATGTCTTGGCAAGTATATGTGTGATCAGATTGTTCAAAATGTAATGCGCTAATATATCACCACATAATTCTGATAAACTTCGTCTTCTCATTGGATTATCGAAATTTATCAAAGGGACTAATTGTTTCAAGTCTATGTTTTTTTGTTCATTTATGTAAAAAACCGAATATATAAATAAGATGGGAAACATTAAATTCATGTTTTCATTTCCATATCTTGTGACTACATTTAAAGTATTGAAAATCTATCTTTAAGAGAGAAAACATACCAATGACTTACATTTAAAAGAATAAAATTAGAAATAGAATTTTTCCAATAAAAATCTGAAATTATATTAAAACACTATTCATATGTTTATTAGTGTAAGAGGAGATAAGGATAATTATAAGAGTAATAATAGTAATAATATGAACACAATTTGAAACCTAATCACTCTGGATAAGAAGTCAATATTACCTGGGTAGGTTTAAGGTAAGAACAACCTGTTTTTGAACACACAAAGGGGGATTGAATTTTCGTATGGCTAAGGCTTCAATAAACCTTAGTATACGCCCTTTTACACTTTTATACAACACTACGAAAGCTGAGTTTAGATCAATCTTGTGACCTGTTTCAATTATATGTTTAGCAATAGAGGATGATGGATGTTTATCCTCTGCTCTTATTGGGTCACTTGATTGTATTTGTTTCTGAAGCCATTTGGGTACATGCTCACTCAACATTAGGGTGTCTAGTTGACCTTTTATTTTTATATATAAATGCTCTTAACAAGTGTATGTGTGACCAGATTGTTTGAAATGTATTACACTAATATATCACATAGTTCTGATAATCTTCGTCTTCTAATATCATTATCGAAATTTATCAAAGGGACTAATTGTTTTAAATGTATCTTTGCTTATAACTAATATAATTTACTAAGGTAAGATTGTATTTTCACTTTCGAATATCATGTATAGATACATATTTTTTCTATCCTAAGTTGATTGTATACGCTTTTAGTTGGTTTTTTTTCAAATCCTCACGTTAATAAATACTTTATTTGATGAACTAAATACATAAACTTTAGAAGCCGTCAAATGCCCTGGTACGTTCGAGAGTGAGGAGTGTGCGCTCACCCTCTTGAAATGTTCTCACATAACCATGTGCATACAACCACTGCCAGGAAATCCTACTGATTGCCTTCTCGTGGTGGGGGTGTTGTTTACGAAATTGAGAGGACGAAAAACGAATGTCCCGCGCTTTACCCGAGTTGGTGGACACGGAGAGTCCACCCAGGGAAGTTGGAAAACCCTGATTCCAAACCAATAGTGTACATGGGCTCCATGATCTTGAAGGAACAAATTACGTTTGAACCGATTGTTGATCACCGGCTACCATGGGACTGCATCTCCTGACGTTGCCCCACTGTCTTGTTAACCAAATATTTAGGTCAAAGACTTCGGATGTGGCTCCCTAAGCAAAACCACTGTTAAAATATGTAATTAATATTTAGATAATATTGAGAGTGTATAACAATCGATGTCATCCGGTAATTCGTATTAAGACAAATATTCATCTATTCGAATTTTTATTTGTAAATTAATCATACTGATGAAATGTTTGACATAAAGAGTATATAACCTACTGTTTTTTTTAAATCACTTATGTTAACTTTTATGAATAATACCAAAAAAACGTTTTGCATTAAACGTGTTGATTACACAACAGATTTGTAAATTAATCAATCCTAAACAAAATGAACTTTGATAATATGATACATTGTTGATAAGTAATAAATGACTACACTTTTTTTGTATACCCTCTGATAATATTATTTAGATATGTACCAATGAATAAATGTAATTAAATAGGACACTGACTATATATATATATATATAAATGAGTGAATAGGGCTATTCCAAAATAGTAATCAATAAAGGGAGAAGAAAAGAGTGAAATAACAATTTGTTCTAGTAATTAGAGAGTTTTGTTTGTTCAAATTGTCTTTTGTAGGTTAACCGTTCACAAATCATTATAACCTGAATTGTTCACTTATCATAATTGATAATGTCATTTTTATTTTAAAATCAATACAACTATAATCTATGATATATACAAAGATTCAACATATTACAATCTAATCTATTCATTATTATAATGTATATTTTGATTATAAATAAATAATACATTTGTAATATCCCAATGAGTAGAGAATTAGATTTTCTGACGCTTCGTGACTTAGTGTAAATCACTTCTTCAGAGAATAAATAACCAAATTAAAATTAATCCAAGTTTAAATAGTACAACGGAACAATAATATTTGATCAATCAAAAACAGGTCAGAACTTGTTCTGACTAAGTCACGAAACGTCAGAAAATCTAATTTTCTACTCATTGGGATATTACAAATATTTTATTTATTTATAAGAATTTACCCAATGCTCAATTTATTCGAAATTATCAAATCAAACCTTGGTAATTATACCTATATTTTGATTAGTTTATATTTCAATAAGTAGTCAATTATTTCCACCCACAACCAATGATTATTACCATTGATATGGAAGGATGTTTAATTTTTGCGATACAATCATCATTATCGTAAAATAATTATATTTTCTTTACAAAATTGATGAGCAATAAAAATGTGAAACTATATAGAATATTTGTTAGAATAGATCATTTCACATAATACACTGCAAACTACATCTATTTATTACTAACTTTCTTTTATGGGCTGATACTGTAGTTTGACTGATAAGAATAAATTTAGGTATTTGAATTAATAATTGAGTGGTTAAAAGTTAAGTGATCGCTTCAAGGAAGTACTAATTCATTTAAAACATATTTAATCGTGACTTGTTTTAGGAATTTCAGTATTTTCTTCCAAAAAAATGTGTTGAATGGCATTTAAATAAAGCAAGAACAAATATTGATGCAGAATAGTATAAATTCATAATATTTCGAGGTTTCTCGTCAGATGCATACAACCAAGGATGGATGGTGTAATAGTTGAGTGGAGTTCAGAGACAGATAAGATAAATTGTGTGATAATTTTAGAGGTAATAAATGATTCATGGAATTAAAACAGTGATAAGATAGGTTACGTAATAAGTAAATAGAATTTGAAAAGTTAACACAATTTAAGAGGATCAAGTGAGCGGAAATGTGTGAATGAAAAGTGGGTTTAAGAATTAGGTAATAGGGGAGGAATATATCACAAATAAATAAATGAATAAAATAACCCAATTAACGAAAAAAAATCGGATTACCAGGGTAATAATAGGTTTATTAATGTCTCTTTTTGAATACATAAATCCGATTTAAGTTTTTTTATCACGATTGCTTAAGCGAAACAGAGGGCAGTCGTACTTCTTTGTCTGTTGATAATTTTAAAGGCGTGCGGGATGTCGATGGTATGCCCGGTATCAAGTAAATGCCGGGCTATTGCACTGTTGAGAATCCTAGTCCCTCGCAGCCTCAGGTTCTTCGGAACACGTGTTGAATGGGTTAGTGATGACATTACGGTTTTAACTAATCTTCATTTTAAAAACTGGTTGTCAATAAAGAAAAAATGATGGAATGACGAATATTTAACCTTGTCAGATCACTGAACGCAACTTAGAGAGTTTGTTTCGTCATAAGATAGTAGATCATTAGGTTACCAAAAGTATCATTATTACTATTACTTAAATTACCATCTTTCCATATCAATCTGTGCTTTGACGGAAAAACCAAACACAAGTCTACTTTTGTCCATCTCTCCTAATCAGTACTTAAATCTTATTACCGTATTAGGTAAACTATTATATTTTCTAAGGTAGTTCAGGCATAATTTAATCAGCAGTGGTTGTTAGTACAATTTCTTTTTTTCAAAAATGAAGCTTTTTCGTAAAGATCAGTCTTCCTCTCTTCGATCTTCCTCGAGTTCTCGAGTAAAGCGTCATTACACGATTGCTCGTTGTGTATAAAATATTTGCGTAAGATCCATAATCGTGTAATTTCCGTTATTCCGTTTATATTCTTTAGAATAGATTATACAACTCAGATGCACTCACTCTTTAACTGACTTTAGATTCCAAGTTTCAAAACTATTTTATACCTTTAATCCTGTTAATTTATTCATTATCTATGCCTGATTATTTTTTTAATATCACTGATACTACTACTACCACTACTACTACTACTTTGGTATTCATCTTATTGACATTTCGCCGTTTTAATGTAGTTTAATAACTTCAAACGATGCACATATCTGATAGGTTCTATTTTGTTTATGATTGACTAACTGGTTATAAATAAGATGAACATTGTAGTTAGGGATATCAATAATAAACTGTTTAGCGAAACAAACAAATGACTAATAGACTGTCAATTTAAAAATAGTAAATATTGAAAAATATGAAAACCTTGAAACAATAAATAAATAAATAAATGAATAAATAATAATAATAATAATAATAATAGCAATAACTCACTGTGCATTTATATTTTACACAATCTGACCAAAACTGTGATGCAGAGAATTTCGATCTTATTACAATTGTGTTACCATACAATAACATTTGTCCGACTCCACATATTCCACCAGCTGAATGATATAACGGTAGAGGATCATATATAATATCGGATTGCCGAATACCAAATGAGTATTTAGCACCAACAACCAATAGAGTATAGCGTAATTTCGTTATAATAGCAGCCTGTATTGATATAGATGAAGTGATAAATAAATAGTAAACTTGGAAATAAGGAAATAAAATGTATTCAGACCGTAGTATGAGGTGTGTTTTTCATGTACATTTGAAATTCAATGCAGTCTCTGATCCAGTAAAGTACCAGCACTGATCAATACAAATCTACATGTTATTTTTTAAATTTTCATCGTAGAAAAATTTTATTTACTTAGTTTAAGGGGATGAGTTATTGAGTTTTCAATATTTATCTTTTTAGACCTCTTTGACAACCTCTACCAAACACCGATCAATATTTAGATATTAAATCAAATTACTATTACATGTAATCCCGATCTTAAGTTATTTAGCCTATCTATGGGTTATTTTCATCCATAGGATTAATCAGAAATATAACTTCACGAAAAGAAATATATTACAATTTAACTAGTTAAATGAATTGCAAACAACTTGACCCGCTTCAGCAAATTAAACGTAACTTTTTCAATATAAAATCTAACTGTCAAGCACATTCCTCATTATTTGCAAATATATGTAAAAATATGTTTAATACCTCATAATTCTAAAGGTTTCTTCAAATGTAAATGGTCAATAGTAATTACTTTTAAAGTGATTAAATCTTTAAAAAACAGCAAGATATTGTATATAGTTGGTCTATAAATATACAACCATATGAACGACTATTTTAATCGTCCCACAATAAAAGTCTTTACTAATCTATAACTACTTGTCAACCCCAAACTCAATCGAAAATTTCCTGATATGAAATGCACTTGTTTTGTTCTGAATATTATTCTTTTAAGATTTTGAGCTGACGAAAATAATCCAGTAACAAGTGAATCTACATTAGATTTTAACAAAAATTTATAGAGAAAAAGGGAATGTATAAAACTTAATTACATCTGGACGGTAGTAAATATATTTATGTTATAGAACCTGATTAACGATGAATACCGTCAAAAAAAAAAAGAAAGCCAAGTCGAAAACTGAGCTGTGATAAAGTACTGAATGGTTATGGAAGCTAGCATGTTACAAATCATTTTATTCTGTAATAAAAATGAAATAACGAAAACGATTAAATATGTAAACATAGCTTTTAACTACCTTAGGCAAACCAGTCGTACCACTGGTATAGACGTAGATCAAATGTTCACGGAGATTAGCAATTCGTGGAAGTGGAATTGGAGCACAGTGTGGAACTTGTGCAAGTGCTATGTTCCAGCTACACGTTGAAGAAGTTGAATTAGAATAGGCAGTTTCTGGTAAACTTCTTTTCTCATCAACTAACCATATCATCTCTAATGATAAATCATTATACTCATTGACCGTTTCAAAAGTTTCTTTCAAAGAGGAACCCACAACTATTCCACGTGCACTCAGCGTTTTAATACAATTCATAAGTGATCCTTTACAAAGATTAGTATTTACCAGACCAGTCGCAACACCGACCTGTTAAATTAAAAGAGTAAATAAATGTTTTCTGAACAAAACCAATTCTTAGCGAGAAACCGATGTTTTTAGATGCATGTACTAAACAGATGTCCTATTAACTTAAGTAAAATATTCCGTATCTCTACAGGTAAACCTCACCTAGCATATACTGAACTAACTGTCGACTAGTTTTATTGCCATCTTTAAGGTGCGTTATGAGTAATCTAGAGAATAGCTACACCAAATTTGAAAATTAACCTGTAAAACTGCTAAAACAGTTCTCTGTTTTGCCAAGTCAATATCGTCTATTATTCTTTGACGTCAGTAGACTCGTGCTTAAAATCTGATGTTCTTTATGTTGAGTCAAAAGCGACCAGTTCCTAGTGTTGATCTATAAGAAACTGAGAGTGCTTAACTTCAGTGGAGCATATTATGACAAACTACTCATCTTGACTATCATTTCAAGATAAATGGCTCATTACACATATGCGATTATCTCCCCACTAGTCTTAGTACTACAAGTAAGCAGCACTATTGTCTATTTCAAGCTTTGGAGTCTGTTAAAAATTCCAAATAATGATTACTACGGCAAAACCAGTTTACTTGGATCTTTACCTCTAAATAGAAGTGATTTCTAAGCCCTGAGAATTGTTAAGCAATAATACATATCGCGCTATACTCCCAAAACAATCGATTATCCTTCCGAATTAATACTGCTCTTGAAAACTTCCAGCAGATTACTGATACAATTTTGTCCGATACTTTTATTGAAACAGTGCATCTAGGTGATGCCCTCACTGTTACTAAATGACTAGATGAACTTCATAATTAAACCATAGCTGTATTACCACGTATTTATGAAAATAAATTTTAGTCCGAAGCTAGGAAATATCAATCTTCCAAATTAGTGAAACATCAGTGGTTCATTTTTAACACCAATGTTCATTGACTTGGTACAGAAGACATTTAGGCCATACACCGATGATCTCAGGTGTATTGTGGCGGCCTTGAAGACTATAAACGCACAAAGTAAACACTACGGTAGGTTAAACTACACACATTAGTATGACTACCAAGTAACATATGAAATTAGTGACATAATATCACAGAAATTACTTCCACAACACGAAATAAACTTCTAAAGAAACTGATAACCTACCTTAGTTGCTCCCAGCCATATTCCAATATATGCCGGACAGGAATTCATAAACAGCAGTAATATATCACCTCGTTTAAAACCACATTTCGCCAGATAATTGGCTACTTTATTTGAATACGCATCCAGCTGCCCAAAGGTCCATACTTGGTCCTCAAAATAAATAGCAACATTTTCCGGTCCCCGTTTTGTTACAGTATATTCAAACATGTCGGAAAAAGTTCGTTTCGTCCATTGAAGCCAGAGAACATTTAACTGAACCATGAGTATGCATCGTAGTCCCCTATTGAACAAACAATATTATCTCATTATCCAGACTAATACAATCGTATTGTGCATCAAATTGTAAACAATCAAAACACAAAATTCCCAACCAAATGTCTGGATAGATGAACATATAAAAGTGGGTCTGATAATACACATTAAAGTCCTTAGATCTAAACTACGAAACTAAAGGAAAGGTCAATTAATTTGGAAAAAGAAGGAACAATTAGTAGCACAAATTCCGATTAGTCAACAAACAATAAATTCGCTGGCGGCTTTATCACCTATTGATTGGTCTCCTAAGGGTAGGATGCGTTCAGATTTCTTTATTATATACCATAACGCCAAATTCGGACACCTGATACCACCGATATCTCTGGACTACACCATGAAAATAGACCGACAAAGGTTATTTGATACGATTTTGGTAGTGACTAAGTTTTGTATCTGAAAAGTAAAGGACGTGCACAGGTTCCAGTTATTATCCATTGAGTGAGTAACCTTGAGTTTTAGGAAACATCGAGCCGACTGATGAGGCTGTAAGTCATCACAAAGACAGTGCTGTCCTAGAGATGGTGCAACACAGTGGTTAGAGACGTTATCAGGTATGGCTCAGAATAGAAGCCAGTGACGATTCAGTCGTAAATTTCTTCATAAAAAATGAACGTAACTTCTTTAACGGAGAATTATTATTATTATTATTATTATTATTATTTCACTATCATACACTAAAATCTGTTCGTTATTGTTCTCGTTTTTCTTATACGAATTTTACATTCCCTATCTCTTCACGTTCTCATTGTTATTGAATGGCGCATATGTATTTGGTGCCCCTTTGAATCAATATTTGTCTTCAAATATATAAATAAATCACAGACTGATGTGCCTGAAATATAACACATCTGCATAACTGACATTTAAAGGTAATTTGTGACTGACTGATTCGTTTTTACTGATAGCCACAGAATGAAATAAGCTGACGATGCTGAAATACAACGGGTTATGGGTGAAACCAGAATTTTAAAAGAACTCAAAAATATGCCGTGTACGTTAATGAAAGTAATAAGTTACGAGAATGACTATAATATGCACTATAAGACGACCGAATATCATAATCATTACCGTCAGCGACACTCAATAAAAAGACCAGCACGATGATTCCTGGTAAAAACATACAACGGGAGTGATGGGCAGATTTTTACACTTCAATACATCTTGAGTACTGTTAACATTTGGGTTCTAGCTCATATTGGATGTCTGTCTTCATAAAATAGGCCAGAGAGACATTAAACCACTTTAGTCTCTCGTCGATGGAGTCGTTCCAGCATAACCGCCTCACACTTGAAACAAGGACTCGCTGCTTGAATCCCATATTCCGAATGCGGTCTCATGAAAGTCGAGTATAATACTCTAAACATTTATTCATCCAAGTACTGAAAAGACCTATGAATAGCCCATAATACCCTATAGTCTTTTCCAGCAGCATCCTTACAGTTACTCGTAGTTTTGAAATCGTTGCTTATTATGACTCCTAAATCTTTAGTTTATTACTTTGGGTAACACGAATCCACGTATTGTGTAGTGATACGAATCATCATAGTTATTGAATTACATCACCACACTCTTGTTAGAATTCACTTCTAGAGAACATCCGTCCATCCATGCCACCAATGAGTTGAGATCATCCTGTAATACTACTCTATCTGACATACTGTGTATGGGTCTCCAAATATTTATGTAATCGGCGAAGAGTAGAACGGATGACTTTGCTACAGTTGGTAATTCATTTACATAAAGTAAAAAGAAAAGATTACTAAGGATTGTGCCTTGGGGAACTCCACTTTTTACAGGTTCCCACGACGAAAGAGCTCCATTTACCCTTACTCTGTCTCCTGTCATAGAGAAAGTCATTTATCCAGTTTATGACCTCATAATGGAATACAAAACTTCCCAGTTATAACTTAAGACCCGAATGGGAGACCTTATCAAAAGCTTAACTTAAATCTACGAAAATTACATTTTCAGGAACATTTCGACCTCTTGCCGTAGACCAATCTTCTCTTATAACGAGCAAACTTGTCAAACAGGATGGGCCTTTCCGAAAACCATGTTGTTCCCTGGATAAAAGATTACGCCCTTCCACATAGTTTATAACAGTCATCTGAATAATATTTCCCATTAGTTATACAACTGCAATGATTAGACTAACGGGTCGATAGTTACTAACTAAATCTCCACACCTCGTCTTATACACCGGACTAATTATTGCATCTTTCCAGTCTGGACTGCCGCAGAGTCACATCAAACAGTATGACTATAGGTTCAACAATTACATCCAATAGGGCTTTCAGAATCCTAGGATGAATATCATCAGAACCACCGGCACCATCACTTGCCAAAATTAACGGATTTTATTGTACCAAAAGTAATGGAACTTCATCACTTCTCTGAGTTCGCCATCTTATATACGAAAATAACCGTTTTGGATTATTTTTACAATATCTAACCAATTGTTTTCATACGACCGTCTAGTCTTACTTATCAACGCTTTACAAGCATTTCTAATATAACAATAACTGGATCTGTGCTGTTCTAAGCCAGTAAAGATGAACATATTTCAATGCTTTTTCCTACCCATGGTGGATAGTTATTCGATCTACGTGGTATCAGACATGGTATAAACGGGGATGTAACTTAACTAAACTTGCCTTTAAATATGAACCCTACCTCAGCTGATGAACTAGTATCTACTGACCAATCTGTCTTACCAGCGCACTCCTGAATGGCTGATATGTTAGCTTTCCATATATTGGGGTGAGGCTTAACCGCATTATATACCATGTCATTAGCTCTGAACGTGAATGACAAAACAGCGTGATCGCTGTTCACTAACGGTGGAAGAGTATATAGGTTGGTAATATCTTCAGAAGAACCTTGGTTTGCACCAAAACGTGTAGGTCTGGATACACGCTGTACTAATGCATTCTCCATTACCGTTATCAGGAGTCTACTACTATGAGAGTTCATAGATCCTACCGTGGCCACTTCAATCCAACTAATATCAGGTGCATTAAAGTTTCCTAACATCAAACATCTGTTATTTCCACTCCATAGCTGAATGTGCTTTAAAAAAAGTCATCAGGTAAGCAGATTGGGCTGCGATAGATAACACCGAGTATAAATGTACAACATCAGATAGTCAGCTCACAGCTAATGATTTCACAAGTTCCACTATTATGGGATTTGCAAACAAAGGAGCGGATACTTATATTATTGGCTATGTATAAGACGACGCCACCTCCTTTCCTACACCTATGTCTAGCATTCGCTCCCAAGATCTAACTATTCGAAAACCCACTAATCGGAAATTTTCTTCATCATTTGGTCGACGGGTTTCTAGTTCAGCTGGTGCCGACTTCCTCTTCATCTTTTATCTTCTTCAGGTCTTACTCGAATGCCGATACTGTCGTGACTACGAGCGCTATTTAACAGATCACGTTGCTTCTCCAAAACTAGGATTGACTTAAGGAGTCTATATGATTGGGATTCAACACAGTCATCGGTCCTATCACCTATTCTTATATATATTTTGACCTGAACTCCTTTAAAGTTATCTGGTAAGATACCACGGATAAGTTCTCCGAGCTTTCCCAAATCATGTGCGTGTCTAATTTTGGGATCAGGATCGTTTAACTCTAGCAAATTACTCCCAATAATATTCGATGAGATTAAATTCTCAGCCACGCCAGTATGGAGTTTTGTCTTACTATCGAATTTTGGTAGTGTACTTTTTAATCAGAATAGGAGTTCACCAGTGAATTCATAGCGAAGTTTGTACTGCTTATAGCTTTTTTTCCCTTCACTTCTTTTTCACCGTACTACCGTCCATTTTTCATTACTCAGGACAGCAACACCGGGAATATTAGGAACGGTGACGGTTTTATCCGAGTTTTCAATTTCTGCTGGTGTGCGATTACCCATATCAATACCAAGTGGCACTTCACTCTTCGTTAGTTTTAACGGAAACTTTACTTTTCCGTCAATCACAGTCGAGTGTTTAACGCGTCACGTAACAGCAGAGACTACACTGACATATTCCTCACTGTCAGTACTCGTGTTACCAGGGCAAGCATCACCTTTCTTTTTACAGGCCAAAATTAATAGGCTCATAGCCTGTTGTATCAGTAACGTCTTATTCGTACAGCAAAGCATACAAAGAAAATGAGAGTAGGGCTTCAAGCATCTTTTGTACACGACGGGACCTAATGGGTATACATATTATGGAACCCCTTTTTACACTCATCGTTACATTTCTTCCTCCACGGGGAATATACAATTTGGTTGTCCACACCTACAAGTACTGCGAACCGCTGTAACCAGGTTAGGATTTAAAATACGATGTGAATACGTGTTAATGAGAAATAAGGTACCACAAGACAAAGTCCAGCAAAATTTCAAACCCTAACCAAAACATCTCAAATTATAGTAAACCAAGAATGCTTTTCGATGCAACAAATACACAAAAGCAAAGATTATCATAAGTACCAAATCACTCGTTTCAGAAACGCGTGCGGGTTAGAGAGCAGTATGAGTATTTAGAATAATGACTTATGAGTCAAAGGTTTGGATTAGGAATTAGACTAGGGGTTTTCATCGCGAATTGACATCAGCAATTATGCCGAAATAGTATTTAGCCAAATGAGTGTATGAATTTCGCGCTAAAATCTGAAACCTGTTATCTTAGATTCAATTAGTTCGTCCATAAATTGTGGTCTCACCACCATGAATATATTTCGAAAATTCGTACTGACATAAAGTTTTATCTAAAACAAAACAACTTACATGAGGTCTCTGAGAAAAGTTAAAATAAAGATGCGTTGATAGCGCCAACCTCCAAGAGATACGTACAATAAGTATGAGACGACAATGGACTCAAAAATTGATCGCCGGAGTAACAATCTAAGTGCGAATATGGATAAATGAAAGACGAAACATGGTTGCCAGTTGATCGAATGCATTGTGCATCCATATAGCCTTTCAAACATACGCCCAGAGTCTCATTTTAAAAGTTGACAAGGTCATTTTCAAAGTTGACGATTCATTAAAACATCAGATTTCAGATTCAGATTTGTGTAGCAAGAATAGAAGGCCAGCGACCTATATTATTCCTTTTCTAGTATGCTTATGTAAGTGTCCAGTCTTCTCTTGAAAGAGTCAATTGAAGGTGCGGACACCACTGCTTCGGGTAGCAGGTTCTAAGTATTGATGACTCGGTGTGAAAACCTGTATGCCACGGGTATTATGTTCGTTCCTTGCTTTTCTTATCACGTGCTATGTCCTCTGAGATGTCCCGATCTAGTGGGAAGGAAAAGAGAGAATAGGTCATTTCTCATTTTTCTGTACATCGAAATTAGATCTCCTCTTAATCTGCGATAGGACAGAGTAAAGAGGTTCAGCCTTTCAAGCCGCTCTTTGTATGGTAGACCATAAAGTTTTAGAATTGAAAGGGTAGCTGACCTCTATACGTTTTCTAGGATATCCAAGTCACCTTTTAAAAAGGGGCTTGCAGCCTGAATGCAGTCCTCGAGCTTAGTTCTCACTGAGGATATATGTACTGTGGTGAACATGGTAGTATCTAACTAAATGAATGTTCGTTCTAAAGTCCAGGAGGTTCGAAACCCCTTAGCTGCGACCTCATGGCAATGGGCCGTCGTCTTATGATCATGACTCACTGTCACCCTTACATCCTTATGAGACCGGACCACGGGTAATGACACTTCCCCTATGTTGTACCTGTTAACCTCTAAATCCTCAAAGTGCATGTAGACAAGCTTTGCCGCGTTGATATGCACCAGCCACTCGAACGCTATATAATACTTTTAAAATCCCCAGTAATGCCTTAGAGACATCAAATACTCTCCCCGATTTACCAAGTTTTTGGTCTTATTTGAAACAAGTTAAATGGCTTTTAGTTTCAAGTCTGTCGTTGTAGAGTCTCAAAGTGTCATCCAGTAATTCTGCATGGAATCCTCGGTGTGGAATAAACCTCAAAATTTTAACGTTATCACCAGAAGTTTCTGTTGATTTTTGTTCAAGCTGGATGTTAAAACATCGATATTTAATTCAGTAAATGAAATATCAGTTGTAAATACATAAACCTATGTGTATTGGCCTCCATAAGGTGTAATCAACTTCATATTTCGCTTACAGAATTGACAAATCATCTTTTCCCGTAGATATTCTTCGAAATGATAAGAAAGCATTGATGATAAAGGAAAGACATGGTTCTTCCTGTATTCCTACTGAAACTGAAGGACAAAACAGATCATTTATTATTATCGCGAAATAACACTGTCTGTAATCACCTTCAGAGCCTATGGAACTTGGTTGAAAGCTGATTATACTGAAGATGACACAGGTATTCAGTGTTTGACAACGCTTCTACCAGTAACACGTAATATAATTCGTAACCACCCAGAGAAATCAAAAGACAGAGTCGATGAGATCGTAAGAGTATATTTGGCGAAAACCAAAATATCGGAATTCTCTGACTTAATCTGGCTAGCGATTGCGGTTGATGTTGAGCATGGCGTTACCACACGTGATCTGGTGCGGATGCCTGACCGAGCGCCTTCAGCTAGATGAGTCCACTAAAACATATTGTCAGCATCCAATGTCGAAAACTTACAGGGCTATTTATTTTGGGGATTTATTTACCGCTACAATACTTTTAAATGATAAAAGATTAGATGCTGTGGTAACAACTAAATTTGGGCGGTTAAGAGTTAGATAAAAACGTCTCGATAATACCAAAATATTACAGCTTATGAAATTAGTTATTTTATAGGGCAAGTGAATTGTTGCTGGGCCTTACGTAAATCGTCTGGCAGTTGGGTCACTGAATAACGAACAGCTTATCGATCCTCGCCATATCCAAGGACAACCAACACGCTTCAGTTAGTTACAATCCATAAGCTGGTCCATAAGGTTGTTGTCGTTTCGTACTGTTGAGTTCCTTCCCTTTTATTGATAGAACAAACCCGATTAGTGATGGGTAGTTCTTTACCTTGAATATGAGCAAGGTAGTTGGAACGTGGAGTTGTCTTTTCTGAACGCACAAAGCCTTTCGACATTCAATATAAAATAATGGGAAGTATAATGTCCATACAAAGTAAGGTAGTTAATGAATATGTAGAATTATGGTCTACTTCGTCATTAGTACTGCTCTAATAATAGACCCAATACCAAAATTGTAGATTTGTTATGATTTAACTGCCTAATCTACAATATCTTACGTGAAAGTCACGTCATTGTCTTCACTGACTCATCGTATCGTAACAATCACCAATATATGATGAAGAACACATTAAGGCTGGAAATAAAACAATATATTCAATATGAATAAAAGTGGTAAGCTACACATGAATGATCACGCCTGCAAGGGTGAATCATGGCATCTGTATGAATTGAAGTTCCTCCTTCGTTTTTCATAGTTAACCGTCTCTTCGCGTCATTTGTTGGATATAAGTGTTTTCAGTAGTTATATGCTTGGCTTCAAAGGTCGTGTGGCTAGGTTCCGATACAACAACAAATACTTGGGCCCTTTTGCTTTGGCATATAATTAGATGTGTGAAGTCAACTCCCAATTCACCAACCTAAGTTATTACATTAGTTTCCTTCTAGAAACTACTTCCGTGGGAAGTTCGATTCGATCACCATATCTATCAAGAACACCTTCGTCCTGATTTATTAATTCATTCAATGCTTGGCTTTCAATCAAAGACGATCAACTGCGTTAGCATTCAACAACACTCCATGGACATCTCTTTCTTGACTAGCTTGATATCTTATTTCGTAGCATTTAATTTCTTCCGCAACTATCGCTTATGTTTTTATATATGTTGATGAGGTACGATTTTCCCATTCTCTGTCCAGCTATCAGGTGTTTACTCGCCTGCTTTTGAGTTGCCCTAAAGTAAAAAAATAGACAAGAATATGTTTCAAAAACAATGATCAAAATCAGGCAAACCTGAAGGACTGATTCACTGCCTGTATAAAACAGTAAGGTACAAAATGAAAAAAAACAAATAAGAATAATGACTATTCGATTCCACATAAGTGTCTGGTTTCCAGAATGGATTGGCAATGTGGAAGAAAATAGACACGGTGTAGACATCTAGCGCACGAAACGATATTAAAAGAAAAAAATTACCTTGTTAAAATACGTATGTAAATGTGTGAATTTGCCAGATATTGGATTCATCACCAAACAAGGAGCTTAGATTAAAGAAATATCCATAAACGCCACAAACATAGGGGAGACTAAGATCACAAAAGGAGGGAGGGTGACGTCACTGACCAGCAAACATGAAGGTGGAGAGATAACTTCAATCCACCCGTGTTTGTAGGGCAGAACGTGTTATTAAATTACGGCTCTTTATGGTCAAGTGTGTTGTCACGAACCAATGGTATTGATGCTAATTGATTATATAAAATACCTCTTTAAATCGTGTTTGTGACGTTGAATTGGTAATCCTATTACAAGCATAATCAGACAATTTGCCAAGGATGAAGCCTGCTCATGAACCTATGAAATAGTATCAGAATACTTTTTTCATAACTACGTTTTAAAACTACATATAATCCTCTACTTTTAGCTTCTTTTTGAACCACCTCTATTCGTATAGTTCTTTATCCACTCATAATTTATTTATGTTTATTTTCTTTAACCTGTTAGACTGCTCTTGCTTGAAATGTATCTTAATAAAAGAGAATTGTCACGAACATTGTACACTCCGCAACTCAACCTTCACAAAACGCACCGACTGTTGTATTGAAAACGCAAGTCTTACTAACATTATTTACATTCATATGTGGAAATTGTTATCCCTCGTAATCCTATGATCAATGTACCTTATAAAATATTAACCTAACTGTATCTGTAACACCTTGATCTTGCCTGTAAACTGGCATGCTTCATTTAACAGACTGATATTTAAGAATAAATTACTACTATTATCTAGTGAAATGCACTCACGTTAAGAGGTACCGAAAAGCACGACAATCTATACAGCAAAATAATTGGGACCTCCTGGATTATTCTTGAATTTTAGATCATTCAATGGATTTGACATATGTGAGGCTATTTATGATGAGTAGTAATGATTCAAAAGCAGCCAGATTAAACACGCAGTATAACAACTAATCCAAGAGTGCTTGGTGTTGCTGATCTTCTTGTCACTCGGTCGATCCAGAACAAATGAAAGAGTTTAGATAACTATGTGTTTGCCACTGTTTGAACAATCTAAAATGACCTTACGATTGCAGAAAATTGACATCTTAAACACATCAGACAATTCCGGAGTATTGCCTTCGTTATTTGACAATGGAACTAAAAAACTGGAAATTAGGCAGGCAGTGACGGAAGAAAAGATATTAAAGGATAGTCCTTAGTTCAAGACAGGTTGTAACGTTAAACGATCAAACAATATGAACAATTAGGTCCAGATAACCATTCAGCCCTTGCTCACATTGCTAGATAATGTCCAGTTACGTCATTTAAAGGTCATATTTGCTAGAGTCTGATGTTTTAACAATTTTGTTTCGTCTAGATATGTAAACGTTATTAAAGCCTGTTAATCAGACGTCGTAAGCTAATAATTAATGAAGATGACCACGCCTGCCAGGCTGAATTGATCAATTCTTCCCGCCTTCGTAATTGTTGGCGTTCTCTCCGTGTTAAGTGTTAGATGTCTGTTCTCCCAGTTATTTCATGTTCAGAATTGGGGATTGTGTGATTATGACCAGTACCACTGCATACTCTACAGTCCGAACGGTCTTCCCTTCTTGACATCAAGCGTTCTACCTCTGACGTGCTTCGAACGTATCGAAATATCCCCCGTCTGACGATTTTGACAGCGTTAATACCACCTTCCGCTACATGCAACTTAAAAGTAGTGTTGCATGTAGTGTCCACCACACCAGTTGTCCTAGACATTACGCTCATTCTTCATAGGAATTCTGTCAAAATTTTTGAATATGACTGAAGAAGAGGAATTT